ATTAAGAACAAGAACTCAGAACAAAAATGATCCTCAGTTAGGAAGATTTGCACTCCATTTCAATCAGAGGTCTCATCTGGCAATATTCCTTGGAACCAACTATAATAAAATGACTCCCTGTATTGCCAGGCATCATACTCATACTTGACTCGACTGAGTAAAAGCGGTGCACTAAACGGCAGACATTTGGCATTTGTTGTCGCGTAGGCAAAAATGAACGCACTGCCTACCAAGTTGGCAGCAGAGCTCTTTTTCTTTTCTTTTTTTGCAAGTCAAGAAAGTTTCATAAGCCACCTATTATGCTGTTGGCTATCAGTGCCATTTCTTGTACATTCTTGCATTTCCTGTACGCGACACCAAACTGCAAATGCGCGTCATTTAGTCGCGCCATATCGGCTCACACGGTTGCGACCCGATTTACGGATCAAGTGTGACGCTGGCTTAAAACAATGTCACCTCTCCACCACATCATCAAGATGTTGGCCCATAGCCAATACATTCCATCCATGAAGATGAGCTGCGGCAGCTAATCGTCCTCTCTTCATTCTGCTACAGTATGCACAAATCGATCGCAAATTCTCTATCTTTCTTGCATGTCCGATGATGTCTAGAAATAGCTTATAGATAAAAAATCAGTGAGGAAAGGATTTACCTTGTTCTTCGTAGAAGTAATCAATATTCAATGACCGACAATATTCAATCAATGGGCGAGGATTGTAAGCTGTTGATCCAGGATCTACCGTAATAGCACCGAGCTCGAAATTTGTACTGGAAATATACAAACTGGATAAACAAACGTAGATATAACTAAAACAAACGTAGATATAACTACGACAGAACAGATGGACGATTCATGTGCTGCACTTGCACACGAGCAACAATTGCGCGTGAACTAGAAATCTTCTTCTCCTAGCTGTCTTTCTACACATTTTTTTCAGTTTTGATTTTAGAAACCAGACAAAGCGAAATGTGAATATTTAACAGTTTTCTAATTTAACAGAACCAACAAACTGACGTTTTTTGAGTTCAATGTAACGGCACAATCAGAGCAAATGACACAAATTGTCAAATGCTTCAAAGCAGTTCGCTCACCTCTTATTCTTTCTACATCTCATTTGATAAAAATGCAGGATATGCAGCAAGGAGAGTGAATCTTTACCACCGGATAAGCATACTAAGATTTTGTCGCCTTCCTAAAACAAACGTAGACATTTACAAAAAGAATTTCATCTGCGCAGAAACTTACCTTTATCATATCCAAGCCATGTATAGCTTCTGCAACCCTTTTGTACATCTCGAGAGGTGGTGCATGCCACGGTAATCTAGCCTCTTCTTCGGGGACCAGTTCTCGTTTGCGCACTATTACGCGCCTGTCCCAGTCGTCCGAATCCTATCACATTTAGAGTTAACGAAACACAGCTTTGTGGTGAAATTTTACGAACTCCAGGGCCAAAATACTCTTCACAAGAAAAGCTTAGTAGATTCAATGATTTTTGGCTTACGATAATTTCGCAAAACTGCATAGAGAAAAGAGAAGTGGAGGTGGAAATGTGGTACAAAGGATCCAAACAAATGTACTTCAGCATCCTCAGGGTCCTCATCAGTCCCAAGGTCTCCCATTCTGCCATTGCCTCTCTCTGCCGGATCCAGAGGGCACTGAACTGCGTCTAAAACATTCTGATATAATTTTATGCAGTACAGCGTGAATTTGGACCTCCAGAACTGCATGGCTCACAACTCTCTTCACAATGATTGTCCATCGCCTCCTCCGGACTTACCGTGTCTTCATAGTTTTCATGCTCTGTATAGCCATTTGCAGCTCTGCTATCTCCCTAAATGGAAGAGCTGATTGGTAGTGTGAACAGCCAAGAACATTTCAAATCAGCTCACACTGATATGTTCTTCAGAAGAAGTTTGCAGTTCAGCGCCTAGTTTTCCATTCATTTCTACAGCCAATTCTGGATACTTTCGAGGTACAAAAGGCGGACTAGGATAGTCTACAGAAATTCCCATTGCTCGTTCAGTCACCTGAAGGTTAAGTAAATTGGTATGCGATACGGTTAAGAATACGAATAAGCATATCTATGTGTGGTTATGGTCACCTCGATTGGGAGCACGAACCAGCGCAAATGAGCATGTCTTCCGTCGATCGCAAATCTGCCATCGGGCACAACGGTCTAAAAACTTTGAGCTTTATTAACAGAATCTCTAATCTGGTTAAATGCAG